TTTATGGCTCTCCCACAAATATAGCTTTAAATTGATTTTTTTTTTTAAAATCAAGATTACAAAAAAAAAAAAATCCCTCAGCACATTATAGCTCACCCCTCCCTTCTGATGATCTTCATGGACTACCTTTTTGGAGACTGGATGCGGGAGACTGCTTTCCATGCAGAGAACTCCGGACTTCTGCAGTACTCCCGCAATTGTTCCAATTGTCTGCGTGTCTCTACCTCCCCCTGGATCCGATATTCTTCCTCGGACAACAGGCGTGGTGGGCTGGGCCTTTCTGGAGCTGTGAACAGCTTCCTGCTAGGACAGCAATGGCGTTAGTAGCACCTGTAAGTCAAACATTGAAATCTGGCCCTCTGCAATCCTCTTCAAACACTTAGGAGAGGGCACCTGATACACACTCAGAACTGCACCCTATCTTAAGTTGGGCTCAAAGTTGAACGTTCTAGACCTAGGCCTTCTTGACAGGCATATTGTCCTCCCAGTTTTACTGTAACAGTTCGTAGTCATATTACATCTTTTGCAAAGATATCTAAGAAATGCCAAAACAGTGTTAATATATGTTTGTGATAATACTGTACTCTTGTTCATCTTCAACATGCCAAAGGACACTGATAAAGATGATCAGAATGGTGCTTTGAAATCAGGCCTCTTCTTGAGAATCTGGACTCATTTTTGCTCAGCAGGACTTAAGAGAGTAGAGTCTTCCATGATTTAGTAGTGTACTTAGCTAGTCAGCCCTCATTTTTTCCCAATGTTCAACAAAAACTTTAATGTTTGAGTAATCTTTAACCAGTTGTGTCTCACTCCTCTTAAAAAAATAACTCACTCAAGTTTCCCCCGAAATATCTTACAGATGTATTTAGATAAAGCCCTCAAGTACAACATCCAGCTATCTTATCCACATAATTATTTTACAAAATAGAAGACATAGATCAGGAGCCTGCCTCTTATATAAGAATGAATCTTTAGAAGCAGATTCTTCTGCCAAATGTTTGCAAAAGCCACATTGTCATATAAAGCCAGTGATTGTCTAAAGCAGTGTTTTTCAACTTCGGCAAATTTAGGAAGTGTAGACTTCAACTCCCAGAATTCCCCTGCCAGCTCTGCTGGCTGAGGAATTCTGGGAGTTGAAATCCATACCTCAAACTTGCCAAGTTTTAGAACCATTGGTCTAAAGTGAAGTAATGATTTACTCCTATTCCAAATCCTCCTTCCCTCACCAGCTTTTTCACAAGGCTGTATAAAGAGAAGGAGCCTTGGGAATTCCTCTGCTCCGTTGGCCAAAACTTTTGTCACTTGGCTTTTCTTTTGAGAGAGTGGTCTCATCAATAATTCTACCTCTTACCAGAAGAAATTTACATCATTTTCTACAGTTTCTAAAATTGCTTGTCATCTGCATCTTATTTTTTTAGTCTCTTAGATTAAAAAAAATACAGCAGGGATTACCTTGTTTTTAAAAAATGCTCAGCAAAAGTACTTATCTTTATTCATTAATGCACTTCAGTTCTGAGCAAGTGCTTTCTACAAGTATGTTCAGGTTGTGGTAAAGAGACACAAAAAGGAAAGCTTTATAGCTACCCAAAACCTCAACAGATAGATCATGAAGTACGTTCATCACCCAAAACCATTTATCACAGTTCCTGAGTTCACATGACATGGTTAGCCCAACCTAAACAAACATTCCAGTTTAGTGTATTTTGTAAACCAAATCTCAGTCTCATTTTCCTCTTCTAAACTGATGTGACATCATGTCTTTATTTGTCTAAGCAAAAAAAAAAAAAA